TTCCAAAGGTCAAAGACTTTTCTTATCTTTAGTCCATTGTCTCAACCCTTTGACATAAATGGTCCCCAAGTTTTATGCCAAAATATGTGTAATACGTTTTTTTTTTGATGAATTCTGTAATGTTTTGCCTTTGTTTCTTTACAACAAATTTACCATAGATATAACAGAATATGTTTGGGTCATTTATACAATCTCTTGTTGCCATAGCAATGAATGAATAATGTAGAAAATAAAATAATGTTAAACTGCATGCACAAACAAATACTATCCAGAAATGACACATCATACAGCCTGTTAACTGTTTATATACTAACAATGTGTTTCTCGTGGTTTCTAGAACAATCGATAAGACTTTCGTGTTGCGATTGGTCTAGAAAAATCGAAAGCCAGGTGGTTGTCAACATTTTAAGAATAACAAAATGTGACCCGATTTCAATGAAGATGATTCACTTATGTAAAAGTAGATATGACGTTTTATGAAAAATCTATACGTGATGGAGAAAAATGGATATCATTTTTGGATTCAATGTACGGGAATTATTGTAGAACATATAAAAATTTCAAGACAATAAAACCATTGCAGGCCTGTGTAATAATAGTGACAAACAATGGTTATATTAATATAATGTTCTTTCATACGCAAGTATTTCACTAATAATTCTTACTTGGTTAATTTTGACACATTTCTAGGATGGACTTTTCTAAGCTTACCAAAATTAATATTGTTATATATAGCTTACTGAATTTTGAATATAGTTATGTAGTAATGTAGTTAGCCTCATGATGTTTCTTAATAGAGAGTTATATCCCCAAACAAGCTAATGAGGCTATAGCCTCTTAAGAAACTGATAAAAAAATTTAAAGATAGTCTTTTTAAATGACTAATTTACAACTATTAAACATTTCAGTATCTATCTAGATACTGCACATTTCTTTGAAGCATTTGCTTTGGTTTATTTTAATCAGTCTTATAATCATATAAATTTTGTATTTTCATTGTTCCACTCTTGCCTTATATTTAAATTTGTCATTCCAACTGTTATTGGTCTAAAAAATGCATTTTACTGCTAAAACTGCTTGTGCATTTGAAATCCAAGTACTGCAGATAAAACATTAGAAATGAACTAGTTAGAATAAATTTTTATAAGAATCACAAAATGTTATCAAACAGTATTTTTCAGAAAGCTTTATTTGCTCTATGCAGGAAGATTAAGGCTGATTCTGATTTCCTGGACAAAATGGTCAAATAAACATCTGTTGATGTGTGTGCGAGTTTTAGCTAGTTCAGTGCATTATTGCTTTATTTGAATTGATCTTCTGTTGGCTAATAGTACTTCTTGTAAAACAGTCTTTCGTGATTAAAAGGCCTGTATAATAAATAAATTCAAAATGTGAAAAATTAAGTTATAATGAAATATGTTTCAATAACTATATAGTCTATAAATATTTTTATGCTAGTGAAATAAAGAAACTAACTGAAAGTAAAGTAAAGCAAAAATTAAGAATTGAAAGTACTTTAAATAATCGTACAACCCTTGGCCTGTGCATAGTTTTCAGGTGTTGATTGTACACTTGCAAAGCAAATTTCAATATCTAAATAAAATAATAATTCTAACTCTTTCAAAACTTTTCAACTTAAAGATATTTTAAAATTGATAGTTGGTCATCCTGTAACATTTATTTAGTGTACTTTCTGCTCAACTCTGAGGAGTCATGCAATTAAACAACTCATTTATTTCATTTTTTGGAACTTTTCTGCCTGTCCAAAAGTATAGGTTTATTTTTGCTGAGAAACTATGATCTCTTTAGAATATAGTTATTATATGTCTTGATTCTCACATTATTTTCCTTCTCTGTTAGTTGTTAGCTGTGGCATAGTGGCTTATAGAACGACTCTGAGTTTTTCAAGTACTAACTTTTAGCTCATAGCTCTGTCATCTCCTGACCGATTTGAGATATAATTACAGTTTTGGTCTTAGGAGGACAAACCCTTTTGATTGATGTATTTGACTACACCCAAGATCTCATAGATTAATTTACTGTAATTGTGCCTGAAAGAATTTCAATTTGAGGGTAGGCTGGTAGAGGTCCTGATGAGTAATAAAATCAAATTGGGTATATGTGTGCCCCACTCTTAGTATTTTTGATGCATAAAAATATAGCTAATAAAAAGGAAAATAGGTCACATAGATTAATTTACCCTAATCCTGCCTGAAAGAATTTCAAGTGCTGCAGCTATTGAGGATTTCAGTTGCTACCCTTTTATATGTTGTCTGAATAGTTACTAATAAAGTTCAGCTCGGAAAGTAGCTATAGGGAATGTGTTATTACAGTTTACATCAGTGTAGAGTAAATAAAGTAGTTTATTATTTCTCAAGATACCAACTAGCTGTAGCACCTTTAGGAATAAACAAATGAATCTAATTGGAAGTGTAGAATACATTCTTGGTGTTCTTGAATATGTTTTCGTATTAAATTACAACTGTTTGAAAACGTCAGAAATTTTATTCTATAATAATACATCCTTATTTAGTGAGTTTTATTGTTAATTTTATATTCAAACAATGCGCACAAATAAAATAACTTATTTTTTATTGACAAGAAACTGTTTGTTACATATAACTGTATCTTAACTAACAATACTGGTAGCAAAATTCACAGCAAAAGTAATGATGAAACCTTCTTGAAAGTTGTGGTCCTAGGCCACTGATAAATCCTTGTCAATATTTGCTATTATTATTTGTGGTTGAAAGTTGTGACTACTGCAATTGGCAAAATAAAGAATCAAATAAAATAGTTTAACCCTATAGTGATGGGGCATGTGTCAAAGGCCATGTCATTGTGTTTGTTGACTTGCATTCAAAATTTTACTGAACTACTATTTTATGAGTTTATGTCAATAATTTTGGTATCAAATTGTAGATTATAATTCAAATTTTAGTATTATACATTAGTTAATTTCTTAATTTTGAAGAAAATATTGAAAAAACATGATTAAACAATGATTTTTGTGTGTCACATGGTATAATGAATACAGCACTGGTTCAAATTAGATGTTTGTGATGTCAAAATACAAAGTTTATAGTTTCATACGAATTATGAACTCAAACTACTGATATTGACAGGATAGAATATAAAATAAGAACCTCTTATCTTTTCTGGTTAGTAAGATATTGCTCATGTAATGAATCAAACACAGTGGCTCCCTGCCCACCTCTTTCCATTTTTGGAAAAGCTTCCTTAAATACACTTACTACTACATATGACATGAATAACAAATTGAAAGCTCAGAATTTCACCCTAGTGGTTTTCTTAGCCATTTTGATGTGTTATTGTGTTAATCTTGTTCTATTCACACAAGATTTAAAATGATAGGGTAAGTCTTTAGTGAGCTCGAAACTTAATATTTTTTTAGACCCAAATACAGCTTAGTTATTAAACTTGATAAATTATAGTTGAATTCTATGGTATCGATATAGTAATTTGTTTTTTTTTGTTATTTAAAATATATATATATAACCCCCCCTCCCCCCAAAAAAATTTCTTTTCACATCCTCCACATGGAAAATTTCATAAGGCTTAGCAACCTACGACAAGCAGCAAATGAGAACAAAGATCATAAGTAGAAGACAGTTGTTTGCTTTACTTTTTTAATTACTGTTCTATGTTTTAAGAAAATAGTAAATAGTATTAATCTATATACACATATAATGTATAGTAATCAAAATGTGACTGTATTTTACAAAATACTAGTCCACTAAAACACAGCTAAGACAGGTTATTTTGTAAAGACTAAAGGTCAGTTTTATATTATTGGATACGGTATCATTAGTGCATGTACACCGCTTCTTGTAACTTCTGTTTTGTCAGCCAGGCACGACTGGAAGGTCAATATATATATATATATAAATGTATAATGTTATGAGATTTAAACTATTTAGCCTAAACATTCATGTTTTCATTTTATAATCTGTAGTCATTCTAGAATGAATAAAGCATGATTTAAATTTATTTCCTAATTTTTTATGGTGGTTACGAGGTTAGTCAAATTGACAGACCCCATAGAGCTGGGGTAGAGAAAATAACAGAAAAAATGTATAGTTTTACTGAAAACAAATATTTGAAATGTATTTAGGAGATTTTAGAGATTACACAAATAATATTTGAGGATTTTGGGATGAACAATAGTTTTTTTAGTTATAACATGAAAATCACTTTGCATTTGGACTGGTAACGAAACAGACTCGATATTATTGCAAACAAATCTATAATAAAATCTGATTTTTTGTGTATGAAAGACTACCAAATTTTGTGAAGATACATTTACTGCATTAAATGTTATAGTATAAATATTTAACTCGTGTATGTTATACCAAGCCCGTTGTGAAAGGGTTAATGGATTTTGATCAAGTTGAAACTGATTGGAGATATAAAATGGAACTCTTTGATCCACAATACAAATATTTTAATTCTAAAACAAAAGGAAGTTGTTGTTGTTTTTTCTTCTTCTTTCTTTCATTCATTCAAAACAGTGTGTCATAACGTTTTGGAAACTTCAGTCTAAAAATGCACTGCAAATTCTAAAAGACAACAAATTGTCATCAGTTGATGCTGAAAAACTGTTATTTGTTAATACTTTATTCCATATTATCCCAGCAGTGCCTTAGGTTTATTGACAATCACAAGAATATTTATTATTTGAGCAGCAGATAAATAATTCAGTTACTCGATCAAAACTTGAACTCAAAAGAAAAGCAATGATGGTTGGAAAAACCAAGACAAAAATAGTAAATTAAAATCCTTTTTCACATTTAATGTTATTGATTCCCTCTGGTTATTTTGATTATTTTAACTGCTTTCTGAGTGAAGAAACAATTTTCGAAGCTTAGATTAATATTTGTGGTGTAGTACATGGTAGGTTTTATTGCACTGTGTAATGCTTTACAAACTGGGATGTAAGCCAAAGAGGAGAACAAAAGTCAAGGGATATTTTCTGTAATAATTTTAAACTGTGAAACCATTTTTATTGAAATTGTCGTGTGTTAAACGTTTTATGCACTGAAAGTGATTTATATTCACTTTAAACATTGAATTTTTACCCATGATGTCTTTTAGCAACACTGCTGTACTAGATAGTTATATATATATATATATAACTCATACCTTTTTCATTACTTTAAACAGGTCATGCCAGTATTATATAAGTTTATAATCCCTTTAATAAACAAATTGGCCTTGTTTTACACAATCCACTTGGCCTTTTCAAATCATTTTAATAGATATAAATAAAAAGAAGTTCTAGTATTATGACTTTACACACTATTCGCCAGTAATAACCGGATGAGTTTGGCTAAGATTTCCTTAGAGTAGGTGTAACAGGTACATCTTCTTTCTACACAGAAAGAGGGGGAAATTCCAGACCTAGAATGGTGGGACAGGTACATCATCAAAGTCGAGAGGTAAGGTCTTTCTTTATTAGTTTTTTTTTATCAGAAAAAGACTACTTGGCTGATGGTCTGGACTTTGAACTTGGAAGAGCTATGTTGAAGGAGACTCGATACTGACCCAAAGATTTCAAGATTGATAACTCCCTACATATAAATTAAAATCAGCATACAACCACAAATCCACTTCAGATTTAACTTACAGCTCACTCATGTTGCTTTTAAACAAATCCTGTACTTGCATCTTAGATAATGTGTACATACTTCATTCCATTTGTTTTTTAATCCCTGGTTTTATATCATAAATACAAAACTATTTCTTCAGTCCATATTTCAGATAGTATGTTAGTATTCTGACTAATGGATTTTTATTAACTTGGAAATTTTATCATTAAACTTGGACAGAGAAGAAAAAACTCAAATTATTGTTACTTTATATGACAGGTTTTTAGTTTATTATTGATTAGTGTAAAGAAAGGTACTAATTTATTGTAATCTCATATTTAATTTGTACTGAATTTTTAGCCATTGGCAGGTCTTCACACACGCATATTATAGAAGCAGATTACATTGTTCCAACAGCAAAACTTGAACCTGTTAGGGACCAGGTCAATCTGTGAAGGAACTCAAAAAATATTTTTACATATTAGTACAATAGTATAAAATCTTGAAATAATTTAGTATCAATTGTTAATTGTAGATAGAAAATATTAGTTGGAATAACCGATTAGTATTTGGTATTACTGTCATTATTTATCTTGAAAACATCAAATCATTGAAGATGATGTTAAATCCAGAAATTACAGAAACTTGTCATACATAATTTTTATACACATATAGTGATAGCAATCAATCAGGCAGTTACTCTCAAGATTATCTTATAACCCAATGTTGAGCTAAGTGAAATATATTGTTGAAAGTAAGCACAAAAATACCAAGCAGTTTTTCAGGTGAAGGAGATACAACCTTGAACAAATCTGTCTTTTACCTATGTTTGTGCGTAAAACACATACCATGGAACTTTGTAGATGTTCTGTAGGGATTTTAAGTTGAAACTTGAAAGGCACACTAACTATTTCAGGACAACATGTAATTCATGTTTTTATTATTACCAATTCATGGTGATATTGCACTAATACTTTTACCTGCAGTTGCACTAGTAAGAATACAAATAAAAACAATGATATTAAAATAATTTTTCCAACACTTAATATATTTTTGGACCAAACTAACTGCATTTATCATTAAATTTCAATTATTATAACGCAATAATTACTTATTATATAGTTGGCAGGTGAACCCTACTTGTAATACTGTTTTATAGTTTCAATTTGATGGTTTACACTGAGAATATAAAATATCAATAATAACATTAACAGAATACATAATTTTAATGGAGTTATCTATATTTTTCTAAATGCATACTGTTGGCATGTACTTGGTTGCTCCCAATATTCAAAGTACGGAGGCCCGTACAATAATAAAGAACATATTGCAGGTATGCTTCAGTCAGCTTTTCAGTTACGAAGACCACAAAAAGCAAAATACAAAATGTATATTTTACCATCTTACAATTGTGAGATAAATGCTTCTGAACTGTACCAAAACATTAACATATACAGATTCTGAGATGCTGTGTGAACTGGAGACTCCTGAAGTGTAAAGTAACAAAACAGGCGGCATTAACGAACCTTGCTTGTAGTTTAATTCCACCTAATACTGAAATAGTTGTTACCTTAAAACTGTGAAAAACACTGGTGCAAGTACAGTTATATACTCATTTCCACAAATTAAACATTAGTTCAGTCTGCTAATAAAAGGAAAGAAATTATCCTTTTTAGTAGAAATAGACTGACATATTCTAACCTTCTGTGACAGTTTTCTTCTTTTTTTTCATATCATGATGTCATATTATAATCAGGTTGCTCTGAATTTAAAGGTTATGAAACTTCATTTCAAAAATAATGAGAAGTAACTTTAAATTTCCAATAATAAAGTAGGAAGAATGAGAGCTTGTTTCAGTATTAAGGTTGGAATTAATTAAAAGAATATCAGTGGTGTTTTGTAGTTGGTAAGAAAGCTAACAACACTTACCTCATCCTTTGAGCTGTTTGTTGTTTTCCAGTTATGAAAGTATTGAGAGGAGTGACAAGCTGAGTGATGAGAATTTTGAAGGAATTACAAATTTTGTGGAACATCCTACTCAGATGAAGGCTCCAAGTAAGTACTATACTTTTAGTGCTGCATGAAGATAAAGTAGTTGTTTTGTAGCAATTTCCAGTCTCTTGAGTTACATATGTAAAATAAGCTGCACCCGTAATGACATATGGTATTTTATGAAGCATTTTATAACATTTAGTGTTTTGTTTTATATTTTTTATTTTGTGCTGAAGATTTAGTTGATAATTATTGTAGAGCTTAATATCCACATTAACCGGTACTTGCCGTCTTGAATATTATGAGACACTTAAAAGAAAGTAATCTTGGATTTGGGGGAATCTATGTATTTTCAGTAATTCAGAATTTAAAAAATTCATTATTCCACTAGAACTTAAGGTATGTAGTTATGGTGTAGCTATTTTTTTGGCAATTAGGTATTGCCAGGTTTTAAGATTAGTTAACTCTGTTTCCATTGCAAACTTTTTAAATCTTTGGACATTTGCAGTCAAAAATAGACATAGTTGGAATCTTGATGATTTTGAAATAAATGATCTCTTCTAAAACTTCAACTTCTTTTGTTGAATTGTGAAATTTTGTGCAGTTAAGTACAGTTTAATTATTTATGTATCTCCAAAAAGTGGGTAAATAGTATGACCAAAAATAGTAAGAACAAATGTATATTTCTAAATTATCTTCAGTTCAACATTTATGTATGAAGTGGTTCTGTTGAAATCAACGTTAACTGTAAGTCATATGTACTAAAAATAACAGTAGCTATCTCATTATACCTTTTGAACTGACACAGTGATACCACTTATAAATTTTATTCCTCAGAAAAATTTTCTTTTCATAACAGAGTAACATGAATACAGAGAGTTGAGTACATCATATTAAAACAATTTTGGAGCCTCACCACATAATTACTGTCCATGTTGCCACATCTGTTTTGCTCCATCTGATGACTGTGCATCCTTACAATAACACTGCAGCATAGTTTCCATTTCAAAAGGCTTTGTTGTAAGGCTTTCATGTCCAAGGCACACCACATCTCCATGTATAGTTTGCATAATCTGTCTAGTTTATGGGGACAATAGTTTCTCAGTGTCCATTTCAACTGTTTAGTCGCGCAAAAGTGCATAGATGCTGTGTACAGTAACTTGACCAGAATGCCTTTGTATGGAATTCCATAAATACTTGTTAAATTCTCCAGCTGCTTGAGATATGTATACTCTGTTAACCTCTTTCCCAGATAGAGATCCTTCTTGATTATGGTGTATGGGGACAGTTTTTGTCCCTGACCTTTATATTCATGTATTTTCACCTGTTAAAATACACTGCACTGTACTTACCACTGCTAGGTTATTACTTGTTTCATGTCTCTTTCTAGATGGTCCTGGTGCCACAAGTCGATCCATATTTCTTTGTTTTCCAATGCTATTAAATAGCTCCCCAGTGACACAGTGTTAAACCTGATGGCTAACACTGCTAAAAACTCATGGCAAGCACAGATAGCCCATTGTGTAGCCTTGTGCTTAACAACAAACAAACAAAAGCCATTAAGCACAAGTGATATCCACTTATTGAAAATTCTAAATCCACGTTCTGAACTTATCTTTATGATCTGAACATATGGATATTGTTAGCCAGAAAGGTGTTACGTACCCTTCCTGAAAGTGATCGCTTTTTGGTGGCTTCAACCTACCTGCAAAATGCCAAACAATGTCAGAATGTAGTTCTGATGCAAGCTGTCCCACGATGACATTATATATAGACTGTGGTTGTCATGTGACTTGCCGTTCTGCATATTTGAAAATATTTTAATGAAATTTACTCAACCTTTTAGAAATGACTTATGGTCATAAATATTCTTGTTATTGTATAAATCTGTTTTTGTTTTTTGCTTTAAAAATTTTTTGTATTTACCACTTATTGTACAGATAGAATAGTTTTACACATTACACCTCTTTAAATTAATAACCATAGAAGTAAATCTTATAATTAGCCAGTTCACTTATTAAAAAAGAACAGAGCATATTTTAATTTAGTACATACAACTTGTGACTCAAAATTGAAATTTTGTCTAGCATAAGTGATGGAAACAATTAAAATACACATAGACTATTGAAACCTTTTCAGTAATGTTAGTGAAATATAAGTGTTATATTGTATACCCAAAGCTACTGTTTCACCTGAACTCATCTACCTTGTCAAAGGAAGAAATTGCATAAATGATGCAGGTTGTCAAGAACTTTATTCAGCCTAAAATGTGAGTTAGGTTGCACATAAATGTAAGCTGCAGCATGAGTTCTTGTTTTTTAATGAAATCGGCTTGTATATGAATTGACAACTCATGATTCAGATATTTCTTACAATATTTGTTTTTGTATGCATGATGTGTGTGTGTTTTCTTAACATCTCTAGTAAATGATAGTATGCCTTAAAGGAACATCTCTTATTATGAAGAGTTGTTTGTTTATCATGACTGATTTAGTAAAATCTTCTTAACTCCTAATTTTTTTCTGCTTCTGTAGTAGTTTACAAAATTTTACTTCAGCATATTTTTAATGTTATAAAACAGTTTTTTACACATTATGAAAACTAAAAAAACATCAGAATAGTATCTCAAAATGTAAATTATTTTCACAAGCTAAATTTAAGATTAATCTCATATATTGTTAATGAAATTGTTAATATTGCTGGCATTTTACAATTAATGGAAATATTACTTATGTTGTACGAAAATTTCTTGAACCCAATGAAATATGTGCTGTATTAAATAGAGTTAGTTTTTAAACTCGAAACATGTTAATGATTTTCATAAAATTCTATATTATACTTACTATATTTTTATGACTAAAAACTCAGAAACAAGAAACTTCAAAATTAAGATTGTGAAATAAACTTTAGTTTCTATATATACCTGAACCTGACAACAAAAAAGTAGAATTACTATTTCACAAATGAAAGAAGAAAAATTTAATTTACACAAAATATTACATTAATGGGAACTATCTTTAAAAGCTTGAAATATAATTATATTGGTGTGATATTAAAATGTTGTGTATTTATACAAATTTAACAATTTGGTAGGGGTTAGAAACATAAACTTCACTTAGTCTGGATGTTTTATTATGATATATCCACTGACACTTTTATTTCCAGAAAAGCTTTACACTTGTAAAGCTCACACCTCAGTTGAAATGAGCGTTTATTATAATTACTGTGTACTATGATTATATTAGTCATATTTACAGTTTTCAAAAATAATAAATAATGACTCAATATATATGTATATTCTGAGAAGTAGGCAGTAGTTTTTATAATAAATTCATATTGCTAGCTAAACTTTTTAAAGAAAATTTTGTAATATCTGAATAATTTAGTCAAAAGTAAAAAAATATAACTAAATTTCACCAGAGACATATCGAGTATTATAAATTCTATTCATTTAAGTTTGGACATGGTACAGGATGTTTCAAAACCTGTTTGATTTCCTTTCCATCATTTTCATATAACATAGCAAGTCTTTCCATAAATGAAACTAAAACAAGATTCATCTTTTCTAAACATTGTTCATTAATCCTTACAATTTCCTGTGCATTGACATATTTTATTCAAATCAACAATATGATATTGTTGAAAGAGATAAAAGAGATGTAAAAGCAATGCTGCTTTATCAGAAAAGCTTTTTTAATATGCAGTGTAATCCAATGCTTAAAAAAAAAACATGATACTCAATATGTATCTGGTCAAATTTTTTTCCTGTAAGTTTTTAGGATGTGATTGTTTTAAATATGGAGTTTCCTTTATGTTCCCCCTGTATTACAGTATATTAAATTATTTATTTTTCATATCACAGTTGTTCTTGTGTACAAGTTACCCTTCACATACTTATTCTACTTATGAACTTTATGGTTGTTTAAACATACCTTGAAGCACTAATTATGCAAATCAGCTGATATTAATATCCTTGTATATATTAGGCACTGGGGTAAGTGATGCGAAGTGAATCACTCACTGAAGTTTGGTTAGAATAGTTAATTAATATTTAAATTTTTTTTATTTAAGAAGACACATGATATTTATGTCATTTTCTTTCAAACTGACATCACATGATGCTGTTCTTTCACATGACTGATCATTATCAGTGGATTG